AAATTCAATGTTTTGAAATTATTGGAGTAACTGGGGCCAAAGATCATTAAATTGAAGACCTTTATTTCCAATGTCCATAGTATCGAAGAAATAAGGTGTGGCTGTGGATACACACGTACAGCGGTGAGCTTCTTCTGTCATCAACTAAAAGAGTCAAATGTTCTAGATTAAAACATGACTTCTAGATACGTCAGCTGTCGTGGACGTCTTCTTTTTTAATTTTGTCCTATTGAGCAAACGTAGTACTGAATGTTCTCTTGATTTCGAGAAGAAAGCTCGATGGATCTGACCTAACTTAAGAGAGTATTTTGATTAATGTGTCGTATCATTACAGGTCATGTTGGATTCGAGATTCGAGAAATATTTTGGACAAAATAAGCCCTTTGTCTTCAACAAAAAAAAAATGTCAAATCTTCTAGATTAAGGTCCCGTTTGTCTTCCATTATTTCAAAATATTATTTGTTACCGTAAGATTCTCCACCACATTCATTCAATAAAATATTTTATACACGCCCCCGGGACATACTTCAGTGGTGTAAATGACATGAATGAGGTAATCTCAGTTGAGCTGGTAGCCGCAGTGTGAGTGAACGATTTTTACCTCTTACAAGGTATAGAACTAGATTCTTCGTGGACACCAATATGACAGCTCTTATACCTGATCTGTTGAAACACATCCTGTGATTTATCTCCTCCACAATGCTTTAGGGGAGGAGCTGTGGAGGGCCCTCAAGATTGGGGTTCAACCTTTAATAAAATATTCTACACACAAATCAATAAAATTACTTTAAATTTCAACCATACATTCTCCAAAAATGACTAATCATTGTTCGTTTTTTTTTTATAATAATGAGAGAGACACACACCGAATATTACTTCTAGATATGTCAGTTGCCGTGGACAACTTCTTTTTGAATTGTCCTATAGCAAACATAGTTCATATTTCCAGTAGATGGATCTGACCAAACCTTGATTAATGTGTCATATCAAGAAATATTTTTTGGACAATGATATCATTACTCATATTTTGTTCATAACTGATGAGTGAAATTTACTATTGATATTAGCCCCTGTTTGACACCCATTTTTTTATTTCATTATCATTCTCATTTTTCTACAGTACTCATTTCTAACCACACATTTTTTAAATAAAATAATATTACACATAAACCCAAAAATTTTTCTTACTTTTTAATCACACATTCTTACATCAATCACTATTCAAAAACTCATTCTTCAAAATAATGGGTGTCAAACGGGGCCACTTATTCTCAATAATTATTGTTATCCTTTACTCGGGCAGACAGAGTCCTACTACTGTCACTTCGATAAAAAAGAATGATTATTATAGAGAAGAAGATATGGCCATGGCCAAAGATGGCACACCAATCGAGAAATTTTGAATCAAATAGATACAAATCTGAGTTTACAGCTAGAATCGGATAAGACTTTTCTGAGGAGACAGCTTTGAGTTGCACAATCCATTAAAACTGTTACACAATTACCTCTTAAAATTCATTTTTACTTCGTTTTATTTTTAATGACACATTTTTCAATTAAAATTTTTTTATACGTAAATTCAGAAAATCTTCTCATTTTTTAACCATACATTCATCACAAAAATCACTACTACAAAATCTATTTCCCAAAAAATGAGGCTCAAACAAAGGCTAAAATACTTGAACATATACCTGCTACAAGCTTTAGAGCTTGTTTGGTAGAGATTAAAATTGAAAAATTAGTGGTTATTGTTGACTTTTATTAGATGGGTGGGACCCAATAACGACTATATTTTCAATTTTAATTGAATTAAAATCAGTAGTAAACAAGCTCTTAATATCATGTTGAATCGCTTTTATGCTTTTAGAAAGGACTGCAAGATGAAATAACCACATTGAACTTGCTAATCAGAGGGATACTTTTGTTATAATGAGAGGGGAAAATGTTATTATTGTTATTAAGAAATTTAATTTCTTTTTTTAGCCTGAGCTTGTTTGGAAGAGGTTTTAATCCAATTAAAATTGAAAATGTGATCGTTATTGGATTTCACTCGTTCAATAAAAGTTAACAATAAAAATTAGTTTTTCAATTTAATCCAATTTTAATCTCTCAACCTATCTTGTTCTGTATCTTTGAATTATAATCAAAATTTGGATAATAGCTGACTTTTTAGCCTTGCGATTATCCTATGAGACTATGAAGTTTAGAGTGTGAAATTAAGGAAATATAATCATGACCTTGCTGGAAATTTTGGGGTAATAATGTATGACAGATAATGAATATTTAAATAATCAAGCATTTTGTTACCTATAATGTATATTTATATAATGTCACTCTACCATTCGACAGTTTAAAAGTAATCAAATTTTTCATCCAATCTTTTTTCTCCACATTATTTTCAATAACTGCTTATATACGTTTTTTATGCACAATAATCAAAATCCTTCAATCAAGACCATAAACAACCCTTATAATAAAAAAGGATGAACCGCATCCTTAGCGGCTCCCACCGCTCTACCCTGGGCCTTGGTGAAGGAGGTAAATCGCAGGTTATGCCTCCAAGGGTATAGGGTGGAAGGCTGCAACATGTGAATGTGAATGGGTTCTCGGTTTAGGTATAAAGTCCTAAGCTTGGGAACTGCGCCGTCGGAGAAGCAAAGCTGGAGTTCTTCCACCTTCCCCTTTTACCACTTGGAGATGTGCCCTGGGGGCATAAACAACCCTTATAATAGGTCCGTTGTTGTATTGGTTGCAACTATTTCTGCATTATAACATCTACACAAAAAATTAAATAATCTACAAAATATGCATCAAGTACGGTGCTCAATCAATGAAAGGAGGAGTGCGTTCAACCGTCGATCAAATCAGTTGCTTTTTCGAATAGAAAAGTAAACATATCTCCCATCCCATCCTACATTAATAAAAGAGTGAAGGGAGAATTTACTATTTATAAGCACTGTTCATAAGCCGTCGGTTCGGCTCGACTGCAAAGGTTTTTTTTTTTTCCCAAACCGAGCCGATAGACTTTTAGTCTCGGTTCGGCTAAGCCGCTGAACCGATTTTTTTTTTCTTTTTTACGTTTGCTTTAATATTTTAGGTTCTAAATATGCGTTCTAAGCGATTTAATTTTGTTTTGAAATGTTGAAGTGCGGCCATCCTAAATATATGATCGACTCGGCCAAGCTTTTTTTTT